TCAGCTGGGCCCTCTGCACTGGGCCCTCCACTCCGACAGGACGACCTTTTTCGAGATCGTGTTCAGGCCGTCGTCGCGACCACAGGCTTGTGGAATTGACGACCGTGGTGTCGTCGCAGTGCTTCGGGAACCGGTTCGGGAGTGGGACCTGATTTCATCCGCGCGAATATGCGAGGCCTTTACGGCAGCAGGCTCCCAAGCGCTTCACGAAAAAGAGGGGCTTGTGGGCCGTCCGATTCGTCGATCGGCGTGACGCCAACTGCAGCCGTTCTCTCGGTGGTGTCCGTTTTTGCGACGCGCGATGCTGGCCCGCTGTGTCCAGGGGAAAAAAACAAGTGTGGATGCGAAAGGCCGTTCGCTTTTTTCATCGGACGGTTGAGAGTCGCGATGGCATGTGGAAGGTTGGGCTACATGACAGTCTTTGGGATGCATGGTATAGCTTCGCTGCACCAACGTCGTCGACTCGTTGCGCAGTCGCTACGCCATTCCGCCCGAACCTTCTTCGCAGACGTTAGGCACGCTGCGACAACGGCTCCATCTTCCGCGGATGCGCATCGCCATCGCCATCCACGACAGCTCCAAGGTACGGTGGAATCCAGATCGCCATCGCCAGCGGCTCCGTCCAGCGCGAGTGCGCATCGCCATTGTGTGCGGACGACAGAGCCGCTGCGCTAGTGGCTCTGTCTAGCACAAATGCACATCACCATCGCCATTGACGACATTTGTAGGGCCTGTGGATGCGTGGTCGTCGTCTGGGCGGCATCGAGCATGCTCAACGATGCTTATCGCTCCCAACCTCCCGCCGCAGCAGATACACGTCATCAGACGACGACCACTCATCCACCGATGTCTTTCCCCTCGATCGCCCTTCCATGCCAGCACTCTCGTCTTCTTCGCTTGTGTGGCGATGGTGTGACAGTGATCCCTTTTCGCAAAAGCCTTGTCGTTGGCACGAGGTGGAAGGTGCATCACCTCTCCCTCCAACCGACACAGACCATGGCACCGACGCAAGACCGCGGTTTCTCCTGTCCTGCCGCGCTGCCACGTGGACGAGAGTTGCGCCCGCACTCCTTCCACCCGCCGTTCGCCTGATCTCGAGAGGAAGGCTGTTGCGATTGACACGCGGCGACCGGGGAATCGTGTGACGATTACCCGTTGGCCTCGTCTCAACGACAAGGTTGTTGCAATTCGCACGCGAAGAAGCGATTTGGGGGCGTTCTCGTCACAGCGTGGTCAGAAGGGGAACTCGGAGGTGCTCCACAAAAGGCAATGGTGAGGTGCGGGCGGGATCATTGTTCGATAACGAACAATCATCGCGCGGAGGCATGATCATTGTTCGATATCGAACAATCATCGCGCGGAGGCAGAATCATTGTTCGATATCGAACAATCATCGCGCGGAGGTAGGATCATTGTTCGACATAGATCAATCATCACGTGGAGGCGGGATCATTGTTCGATATCGAACAATGCCGACAGGCAATCATCACGCGGAGGCGGGATCATTGTTCGATATCAAACAATGCCGACAGACAATCATCACGCGGAGACGGGATCATTGTTAGATATCGAACAATGCCGTCGCGCGATGATATTGAACAATGAAAGCGCCTCCGCGCGATGATTGCCTGTTGGCATCCCAAACTCCAATTTTTCTTCCCCATCACCACTTTTCCTCGTGTGCACGGAGGCGCGACATGATTCCCCGGTCGCCAAGTGCTAATCGCAACAGCCTTCCTGCTGTGACGTGGCGAAAGGGGAAACATGATGAAGATGAAGAAGAAGATGCATTCTCTTCCTTCCACTCACCTTGTTAATGTCTTGGGGATGAAGTCTCAATCTTGATGAGGTTTTCCTCCTCCTTGCACAACTCCTCCTTGGCTATGGCTCCCTCCTTCTTCAAGCCTCTCTCCTTCCTTTCTCACCTCTTCCCAAGTTGCCTCAAACTCCCATCACCATTGCTATGGAGTCCTCCCCACTAGGAAGGCTAATGGGGCTCCCTCTAGCCTCTCTCTCTTCCTCACACCCAGGGGGGCTATGGCGGATCATCTCCCCTAGTGCCAGCCTCACTACCTTTATCGAGCTCTTTTCCCTAACTCATGGCCTCTACCAAGCTCTCAAACTAGCATGGACTCTCCTCTCCTCTCTCCGAGTGAAAAAGTGCTCTCATGCAATTGTGAAAGTGGCGAACTGAATTCCCAGCTTATGTAGGCTGAAACCAGCAGTCCGGCCAGCTCATGAGCCTCCCCATGAGCCTTGAGGTGAACCGAGGTACCCCCAAGGCAAAATTCCACTACTAGGCCTTTCTGGAGGTACTCGGGCCTCTTTTTGGCCAAGTACATGCAGTCCGAGTGGTTGATACCAACTCGGATTGCCTCTTGGCCTACTCCGGCCTCCTTTTTACCTCACAAATGCTGCCCCCTTGGATCCTAATGCCTAAGGGGCAATTTTACTTGAAATAAAAAAACCTTGTGGGTCTTTTTCTCAATTTTTTCAGTTTGTACCCCATTTTTGGTAGGCCGAGATATTTTTTCATGCAGCGGCACATTTTCAGCCTTGGATCTGGCTGAGATCCAAGACCAGCAATAATCCGTGCCACGCCCTAGTAGCCCTTGCTTCAATTTTGAGCCCCTAAGTCCATTTTTTTAATTTTTTGTGCACCTGGCTCTCTTTTTGGGCCAAATGCACAGTTTCGTCATTTTCCTCTTTTGTTTCTTTCCATTTTGGGCTCCCGCTTCATTCCGGAGCTAGCCGTTTTGAGCTGGCCCACAAAAAACGACTAGTTCCTCTCCACCATGAGATCCGATCTCAAATCCATGGTCCAAAAGAAAACCGGTCATTTTTTTTTTGCATTTTATCTCATTTTCTGCTTTTTAAGGGTCATATCTCTACAATCCGGATTGCCCTCCCTCATTCTAAGAGGGATGAGGTCACAGTTGGGACCTGCCAGTCCCTACTGTGCAGGTCCCAATAGGCCGACACACTCTCCTCCACTTTTTTCTCCTTTTTTGTCTCATTCTCCCTCATTTCTCTCTCATTTTTCTTTCTTTTTCTTTTGTTTCAGTTGTGACAAGTGTCAAACTGCTGTGCACCCTCTTTCTAGGCCCTAAGACCTCATTAAAGGCCAGGTTCATGGCTGTTACTTGGCCGTTACATCTCGGATTCCAACAATGTCACCCCCATGCTTCTAGAGGGCGTCGTTTTGCCTCCGTTTGTCAAATTTTGAGCCCCATTTGCTCCGATTTTTTAAGGACAGCCTTTTTCTCATGTAGAGCCTCTTGAGGATCTCTTTTCTCATGCCTAGCTAGTCCGAGATATTTCGGACTGCTGGGCAGCCCTCCCAACATCATTATTTTGCTTTCTTTTCTCCCCGTGACTCTCTCACTTGCCCCCACTAGTGCTTGCAGTAGTGGTGCTAATATTTTCCACCGTCTAAATCCTCGATCTCGACGGTGTCGTTTGCTTGCACAAATATTCATTGTGCTTGCTCATGGTTCCCTTGGGATATTCCAAGTCCCCGCCACTCTCCTCCATACTAGTTCCATTTTCTTGTCCCGCCGGCGGTCCCGCCGGCGCACGTCCCGTTTTTCGACTTTTATTATTTGGACCCACTTGGTCCCCGACAACATTCCGGACGGTGTCCCATTTTTATTTTTGGGGTCCCCTTGCCCTTAGTGGTCCCATCATTTCTACGCTCCTTTATAGCCTTTCGGGTTTGCCGTGGCTCATTTCCCCTTAGCCTAGGCACCCCCATGCAGTCCGTTATTTCTCGGACTGCAGTCATGACCATCTTTCTAGTCCCACAGCCTCACAACTTGCCCTATGCTAAAAGAGAATGAAGCGTTAAATTTCTAAGTGCATACGGGCTCAATATTGGCTCCGGATGCACCTAGAACATGTGTTTTCCCTCCCCCATGCAGTCCGTTGCAACTCGGACTTCAATAGGGGCCAATTTCCTAGCCCCAATGCCCCACAACTAGCCCCTACTCAAAAGAAGAAAAACGGTCAATCCCCAAGTGCATCCGGACTTGATTTTGGCTCCGGATGTATTTAAAACATGTGTTTCTCCTCATGCATGTAATCGTTGCTTGTTTTCTCCTCCTGTGGTTTAATCCTTTGTCTTTTCTCTCTCCTACCTCCTCACTCCAGATTTCTCTTTTATGCACAGTTCGTCCATATTTAGTCTCTCGAGTGATGGGAAGTTCCAGTCCCGACAACGGTCCCCAAGCGACCCCCGTAAACCGAGACTCTCCTCATTGAGAAAGTGCGCTCGCGCTATTGCACAACAACTGTTTGCAGGCCGACGCACAAGCTGCTCATCGCGAATTTGTTGAAGAATGAAAGGACTGTCGTGGTTGAAAGACCTCTCTACAACCCCCATAAACCCCGGTTCGCCCAATCGACAAGGCAAGCTCGAGCGTGCTTCGAGCTCGCGTGTTCACACGACAGACACCATCTTCGAGGAGAACACAGCGTGAACCTCTAAGTTCGCTGAGATCTGAACTTGTCATCTCCAATGATTGCGTTGATTGCACCGCTGGGAGGGCAGACAACAACAAGTTCGGATCCCGGCGAACTTCGAATTCGCGTTGCATCCTCCTTTATGCTGGAATGCATCATGCAAATGCCTACATCAGTGAAATTTTGTTTGTTTCAGGCTAAGGTGCTTTGCGTGAAGCTCGTCGGGATCCGAATTTCACGAAAATGGGGCACCGCGTACTCAACAACCACGTCCCATTCAAGTTTGTTGAAAGAGGGTTGTCAGCGGTTAATCGCGGGTTCGAGAATTGTCGGAGAGAAACGTTTTTGAGGAGCGAGTTTGTGGAAGCCCCGGGATCCAAAATTATCTAATCCCTTTTTTTAAGGAGCCAGAGTGATATGTTTGTGTTACCCTCGTCTCAGTAAAGTTATGAATTCCGCAAGCCTGCGGGGATCCGAACTTTGCAGGCACCACCGTGAACAACACATCTCAACATTGACGTTCCAGATGTCGATTCCACATCAATAGATGGCAGGTTGTTTGCATGGCATCAGATGCAGTTGTGCGAGACGACAACTGTGGATGACACGTGTGGAACGAAGACGATGAAAGTGGCGAGTCTGGCCAACAAAGTCCGGACCTCGGCGAACTAACTCAATCAACTCGCGAACACGTGTTTCGAAGTCAGCGAGCGCGGTCTTTTCTCATTCTCATGTTCATGTGTGTTGTGATCTCTCCTCTATGTGCATGAGTTTTTCACTAGTCTTAGCTCCTCATTGTCATGTTCATGCTTGATGTGATGTTCCGGATCTTACTTAGTTTATCTCTTCTCTATGTGCATGTGCTTTCCACTAGTTCTAGTTTCTCATTGTCATGTTCATGTGTGTTATGATCTCTCCTCTATGTGCATGAGCTTTCCACTAGTTCTAGCTCCTCATTGTCATGTTCATGTTTGATGTGATGATCCAGATCTTACTTAGTTAATCTCTTCTCTATGTGCATGTGTTTTCCACTAGTTCTAGCTTCTCATTGTCAAGTTCATATGTGTTGTGATGTTCCGGTTCCTACTTAGTTGATTTTTCCTCCATGTGCATGTGCTTTCTACTAGTTCTAGTTTCTCATTGTCATGTGTGTTGAGATGTTCCGGTTCTCACTTGTGTGATGTCTCCTCTATGTGTAT